TACATAAAGTATTGGTACGTACAAAAAAATCGAAGAATGAATACAATATTTTAAATACAAGTAATCTTAAATGTTTTTCAATTGAAATGAAATCTAACACACTCTGGGTCACTAAGCAAAATGCACGACAAGACTGGCACTGCTAGCTCTGCTTGGAGCTATGAAAGCAGCACATTGGCATTGTGCGAATGAAAACTCCTGGTATATTAATTGCCAAGTTCAATATTTGTATTTGTTCAGAAAGAACAAAATGAAGGTTCACACTTTTGCCCATCTGCTGTGTGATGCTGAGTAGCAAACAGGACAATGACAGACATGATAAGCTCACAATCCTATCTGATTTTCCTGTTGATCTGTAGGCAAAATAAGGCCAAAGGTTTTAAACGTGAATTGGCCTAATCGTAAACATTGTGTTCATTTTAAAAAGTATGTTCTGCAAAATGAGAATACAGTATACGAATTGTTTTAATGAAAATTGGCAAATGGCTAATTTTTGGCCTTTGTTTACTGCTCTACAAATACAGGATAATCATTAACTTAAAGGTATACACTGCAGATAAGGGAATCCCTCATCTGAAACAAAGAAGCCTTAACACACACACACACAGCCTTACCATCTGTACCCTCCTTGCTTAATAGGTTGATATTTTTCCCCCCCCAATCACATGCTCAAGCATATCATACCAGCAATTGTGCAGTGTAATACGTGGTAGTGCTTTGTTTTTCTCTCTCAAGCTTCCTCCTCCTCCCCCACCCCCCCATGCAAACTATATTTATATATTCAGCACATGAGATCCAATTCATAAAGAACTATTTCAGTTCCTTATATGGAAAAAGCACAAGTCTGTGGCTGTATATCTCAGCAGCTGTGACCCTTTCCAGTGCAGCCTACTAAAAGTCCCAATGCTAAACAATAAATAAATGTTCCCATATCAACCAGGGAACAAATGACCTGAACTAATCAATTTGAAATGGTCACTCTGTTCCAACCACCAAACTATTTTGGGGCTTTAAAATATAATAATAATCCTTGCATTTGATATAGCGCTTTTCACGTCTTCTAGACGTCTCAAAGCGTTTCACAGAATATGCTGTAAAGTGAATTGACTGTATATTTGTGGGCGAAACGCGGCAGCCAATTGCGCACAGCAGTGTCCCACAAACAGTCGTGGATTGAAAATGACCAATTTATTATTGTTTTTGTTTTTTTGGAGGGATTATTATTAGGTGTGTGAAGTAAGGAAACTTGCCCAAGGTTTCGCCCTCTGCCTGGAATTCAACCCAGGTGTCTCGCTTGCAAAGCGAGTGCTCTAACCACTGAGCTACAGGGCTTTGACATCTTTTATGACATTACTATCCGCCAGATCATGTTCAGACATGTTCCTCACTTTCATCCAGTTTACAACCACAAAATTACATTTGTATAGCATCTTTCACTTCGGGAGGACGTTCCATAGGCATTTACTGACCTATTGCAACCATGAACATGAAAATAATAATACAAATCCATACATTTGACATTGTGCCTTTCACGTTAGGAGGATGTTTCAAGGTGCTTCACATGATTTACTGCAAAGTGTAACGACTGTGTATTTTGGAGGAATTTGTTTCTGTTCTTATCTACTGAACACTATAAATAGAAAACCTGGAAGCTTCTGGATGAAATAGTTACCCAGGACTACAATATGGAATGTGTCACTGACATGCATCTAGTCAACAATCTCCCAGATACAACGATCACTCACTTCATGGCTGTTTGTGGGAGGCAATGCTTTGGGCAAACTGGATGCTGCGTTTACCCGCAAATACAAAGTCAATGCCCTTAACAGTAAATCCTGTGAAGCTGTTTCTGATACTTTGATAATATGTTAAGTCTCTATATCAAATAAGGATTATTATCTTCTACATCCTTAATTGCAGTCCCCTCCCATAATATATTTTTAAGCACTCTCTAGCCAAAGCAGTAAACAGTTTGACCAAAATATCTTTCCATGTCTGTTAATAATAATGGTGCTTCCTTCCTAATCAACTGCCAAGATACAAAGTAAATTAAACAAGTTGGCCATTGAGGGCTTAAGTGTACATCTTTCCTTCCAACATACAAACATACCCAAAATTTGTACGTATCATTTTTAATCAACAAGATTTGTAATCAACAAATATGCAATGGTGAACTCACAAGGTACTTTCAGAGCATAAAATAATTTCATGCAAACTTTAGCATGAATCATCAAAAACAGCAATGACTTTAATTTTTAACCACAGGAATCTATACAAACAGAATATACTTCAACTAAAACTCTGAATGCAGTCAGCAAATGCAGGTTTAAACATACTGCTTTTGTTGTATGGTATTGTAACATTGAACATTGTTAGTTAAGTGGCAGTAGGGGGAGGAAAATATAAACAAAACAGATGCAATATCAGTTTACAAATAATGTACTTGCCTATAAATACCTAGGCAATACACTGGACAGCGAGTCCCTGTAAAGCAGTAGAAGACAGTTCATGTTTACAGACGTTATGTCAAATGCAAAGATCGCTATTATTTAGTAATTGTGTCAAATCTTTCATCACACAACTAGATGATGACACATGCTATCACAATGGCATGTTCTTTGTGCCATTGACGATCTTAAGTCACATTACCGTATCCACATCAATATAATAACAAATTGCCATTTAGAGGTGCAGTGGTCACTGACAACATTCATTTCGTTAAAAAAAATGGAGTGAATAGCAAAGTTACAAGTTCAAGCTGGGAATTGCAACATTATAAACAATAAAACCCACACACTTTAAAACTATCATCTGAAAGGTTGTATTATATTTTTTTAATTCACTTCCTGGTATTTCTCTGCCCTTGACCAATCTCTACATATGTGAGAAGGCAAACACCCCTGCTGGATGCTAACTGTCCCTCCATTCCCTGGGCATTCTTCTTCGCCCACAAAATATACATCAATTCACTTTACAGTACATTCTGTGAAGAGCTTTGAGACGTCTAGAAGACGTGATAAGGCGCTTCATCAAATGTAAGGATTATTAGTATTATTAACCATTCAATAAGAAAGCTGTGTTGAAAACCTGACTAAGTCTGTTCTCTTATGCATTGCGTCTTCCCCACTCTTCTTTATTTTAACATATCAAATTAATTACACATTTCCCAACAGAAACAATATACAAAGAGCCAAACAAAATGACATAAGAAAAATACATATTACCATATCACCTTATTAGATGTGACAGATACATTGAGTAACAACTGTTCAATTAATTTCTTTCAATTCTTAGCTGTTTGTACAGTTGTCAACAAAATGTAAATTCAGAATAATTCATGGCACATGTAACCGTTCAAAAGTCCATTGATTAGGTTAAGTAGCAATCGTATTACAGATCTACATGAATCATCGACCATGTAATGCCACACACAGTTCTTATAAAGATTAAATAGGTACACAGAGAGTTGGGTAGTTAGCAAGGCTGTCTTTCAAATGAGAATCTTCAGTGAGAACAACAACAACATTACATTTATAGAGCGCCTTTCACGTCAGCAGGATGTTCCAAAGTGCTGAACAGTCAGGTGTCGGGGCCCAAGCATGGGGGAGGAGTGTAGGGGTGAAAGGAAGGTAGAGAGGTGGGAGGGAGACCAAAGGCACGATCGAAGAGAAACAACCATTGCTGTAAACAGCCAGGAGGAGTGATATATAGAATCTGTCTGAGTTCCTCTTTCCTTTGTTTTTAGGTGGGGAGGGCGTTCTGAAATGGACTGATAAACCAGTATTCACTCCATGCGCAGCTGGACACTTGGTGGCAATGACACATTCCAGGCAAGGTTCCCCAGATTTTTGCATCACCCAGCAGGTAACAGTGCCTGAGGTTTAGGAAGTGTCGTCACCATCTTGATTGAAAAGATGGGATCTTGTCTCCACACAAAAAGTTGGGAGCTACACCTGCCAAGGTCACTGAGGCTGGACATGAGCAGGGAGCCCTGTACCTGGGAGTAGGAAAGCAGGGTCCAAACAAGACATGGAAACCAGAGACCCCATGGAGTGGGACATAACGTTAGGGCATCTCAATAAAGCCAGGAAATTATACTCACAATAGCTGAGCATCGATGAAACAATACACACAAACCGACAGGGCTTTCTGAAGAGAGACGGGTTCAGAAGAGTCGTGATTTCAATGAATGCATCATTGTAGGCTATTGATTTGTTTGGGGCCATGTTTGCCGGGTTGGACAGTGTGCAATTGGTTGGCTTTGTGATGACCGCCCTAAAGCTGGGTATCGACGGCTCCTGAAAGCAAACCGGTTGACCCTAACGTGGTCGAGGTGAGTTGTTTTCAGGGTTTCGGACGGCGGCGACTAAACCGGTTAATGAATAAACGCGAGAAACAAAAAGACGACGACTGCGGTTTGGGGGGTTCTGACAGGGCAATGGGCAGCTCTGCCGTCCCCGTCAACCTTTATGGACGCAGACCTCACAAAAGCGTCTCGAATCCGCTTCGACCGCCCAAAAGTGCGGAGAATTAATAACCAGATTCACCATCGAGTGGATTTATTATATTAATACACATATATATATAGAGAGAGAGGGGGGGGGGTAACATGATAAACCTGTTAAACCCACTTGCTCAGCAAAACCCGCAGCAAAGACACACACATAGACAACAAGCGGAAGAACTGCGGACTTTTCATTACACAACTGACCCAGAAAATCACTGAATTGCGCAGCGACGAAAACAACTCACTGGGGATTGATTATATGTGGAGGGGGAGGGAGGGGAGGGGGGAGGGGGGGCAATGGATTATTATTATTATTTTTGTGGGAGGAGGAGGGTGGGGGGGGTGGGGGGGTGGGGGGTGGGGGGGGAGTTAAAAACAAACACCCACAACAATAAACCAGCAGCAAAATAACTAAAGCAGAGACGCACACACAGGGGGTGGGGGGGAGGGGAGGGGGGGGGGGGGGGGGGGTACCAGAGCAGCAGCCCCTTACCCTGCAAACTCTCCTCCTGATGGCTCTGTCGTTGCTCGCTCATGGCGGTGGGTGGTGGGTGGTGGGTGTGGGTGGGTGGGTGGGGGTGGCCTGGCTTTTCTGCTCAGTGCCTGTCCTGCTCGCTTTGTTCAGGGTGGGGTTGGGTGGGTGGGTGTGGGTGGGGGTGGGGGCTGTTGGTGCTGTCTTCACCCCCGGGCTCTGCCACCACCTCCACCTCCTCCTCCTCCCCCCACCTCCTCCTCCTCCTGTCTGTGCCTTTGCTCCGGTTCCACACCTCACTCTCCAGCACCTAAACAGAGTGACATCAGTGTGTTTTGGGCGCAGCGGCGACCAATGGATCGCCGGATCCCCGGAGCCGCCCCCGAACTGACGTGTGGGCTCTCAGCACTGACTGTGCAGATTGGGGCTGATCCCGTGTGTGTGTGTGTGTGTGTGTGTGTGGGGGGGGGGGGGGAGGGGTGGGGAGGGGGTGATACCTGACAGGCCTCCACCCCCCCCATTTAGCACAGCTTTTAGCTGACATGTATTTTACTGGTGTGTGGTCCACATAATGTACAGTCTACACTTCAGGGAGTGGTGGGTGGTGGTGGGGAGTGGGGGGTGGGGTCGGACTCCACCCAATGTCACTGTCCAGCGATCCGGGACTCTTAACCCGCGCGACGTGATAAGGCGCTATATCAAATGCAAGGATTGTTATTGTTATTGTTATTGTTATTGTTGCGTTCCCACCAGTAACCATTTCAGATGTTACGATCGGGCCATTTTCAGTTTGAAGACGATTCCCAATCTTTCAGTTAAAAGGAAATGTGGATGGAGAGGTTAAAGGGTGCAAGGCTGTCAAGGGTTAACTAACTCCCAACCAATTCTCCGAATCTGATAACAGGTGAACTCGAATTCGCTCGCTCTTTCCTCCTGAACTATATTGACCCAAACTTGGCACGACATAACTTTGTTCTTTTATATATTATGTTATATTAACCAGGTAGAATCTGGATGTATTTCTCTCGCAACTGGAATTAGTTCCACCCCTATAGCTCGAGACACCATAACAGCCACTTTGAGCAATGATATGAAGAGCCGTATATAAAAGTCATATGTCAATAGATCACCATTCCTGTCAACAACTGTCACCCACTTTGTCTGGATTGTCACCATTGTCTCTGAATGTCATCCATTGCCCCCGACTGTCCCTCCACCGATGTGATGACATGAACTGACACCTTTCCCTTTTTGTCTCTTCATACTTTAATAACTGTAAATGTCCCCTCCTCCCCCCCATCCCCCACGCCAGTATCTGATCTTATTAACTTCAATGTAACTTTACTATATGCTGCTCAATGGGCCTTGGTTATGACCCAGGGCTCTCAATCAGAACTAATCCTTGGAATTGTTTATTTTCAAAAGAAAATGTTTTTCGTGAGAAAATCCAGTGTTAATATAAACAATGTAATCTCAGTTTTATATAAGCACTCTCTGTGTCACCAATAAGTATCAAATCTTAAATGTGTTTCACAGTGAGGTATAAGAGTTTGCACCCAAGGCCATAAAGGCCTTTGAAGGTCCTGATATCGATCATCAATGAGAAAAAAAGTTACAATCTGTTACACTAGCAAAATTACTGATTAATGAAGGAAATTTCTGCTGACTTTATAAACTACTGAGGGCAAAGTTGCAATAAAAGTTTCAGAATGTCAGTAGAACAGTGATATAGAATATATCAAATGCAAGGATTATTATTATTAATAATGAATCATATGATATGGAACATATAGTTACAAATAATAACCCAAAGGGTTCAAGCAACACCATAAAAAAACTCTTAAGAGTTTTTCTGAATAGTTTTTCATTTGAATCATAGAAGTGCATTAATAATAATAATGATCCTTGCATTTGATATAGCGCTTTTCACGTCGGGAGGACGTCCCAAAGCGCTTCACAGATCACACTGTAAAGTGAATTGACTGTATATTTGTGGGCGAACGCGGCAGCCAATTGCACACAGCAATGTCCCACAAACAGTCGTAGATTGAAAAGGACCAATTTATTATTGTTTTGGTTTTGGAGGGATTATTATTAGGCGTGTGGAGTAAGGAAACTTACTCCATATTTTCTCTACCAAACAAGATTCATTATAGCATTGTTAGCATTTCTATTTCCTACACTAATTAATCATCATCAGTATCTCAGTGTAAAATTATCAATATATTGTTATTGGTGTCAATTTCTGTGCTGTGAATGGGTGAGCAGTCGGAATTGGGTCAAGTTCATTTCATTTATGCCACCGTTTATATTGCTGGAAGAATAGCAATATTGTTTCCAGAAATAGAGTAAATGTGGGGCAACCAGCCTACGTTATACTGCCCACTCTTAATCACGTTGATCAATACTATTAAACACATTTCTGTGCATGTACAACTAAGTCTGTGTCTAGTAACATTTTAATTTAAGAAAGAACCAGGTGAGTTTTTAATAATCCAGACTTTTTGATACTACAATATTCCATTGAACATAAACTTAGATGCAGAAGCAGAATTGATTTGCACCAAATGGGTTGAAACTATAGTGGGGTGAATCACAATGCTGCTGTAAGCATCTCTTCAAAGTGTCTCAACAGAAGGTCTTTCAGTTTGATTGACTTCTAAATCTTATTACTCAAGCCAGATTTATACAGTCCACTTGGCAACAAAATCCCATGTTTATGGAAAATATTCACCGTAAAAAAATTAAACCAAGCAGTAAAACCGTATGATTTAGAGGAGAATTTTATCTTTTCATTTTATGGTGGATTTAAATCCAGATATTCAAGATTAGTCGCTCTCGTTTTCAGGATTCTTGTTTATGATATGATTTTTGGATGGTAATACTGGTGATAAGACATCCTCTTTAATCCGTTTACTACCACAAATAAATATTTAGGGTGAACAAAATGTGCAGTAACATTAAAAACATGAAAATAGATCATGTAAACTTAGTATCATGAAAACTCCAGCCGTCTCATTTATTCTGCTGAGAAGAATGCAATTGGCACTGAAATGGTTTCAGAGAAGTCCAGGGTACAATGTCTCGCTGAAATGAAATGTTCTCTTGTATCTTTTTCTCTGAAGGGAAAATGACATCTACTTCAGGGCTCATGGTTAGAAGCCATCTACAATCAGGAGAGTAGACAAATTTATACTGAAACCATGGACCCGGGGCTGTGGGCAATTTGTTAAATTAAGTGTCTCTAGATAAAGAATCAAAACAATTCCACTCAGAAATTGTTCTGTAAACTGATGCAGCCTCACAATGACATATTGCTACGCAATCATATTATGCCACCAGGTGGGGCACTTGCAATAAACTGTCCAGTTTCTGTTGGCCTAGTCAGAACAGAAGCATTTAATACTCTTACAGGAAAAACTTAGCTCAAAAATTATGTCATTTGGGCAAACAAATTCTAATGATTGGAGGTTGTTCCTTAGTATCAGTCAGTCTGAAGACCTATCTCTTTAGATCATCTTTCGCCTCCCCACCCCATCAGTTCCCACCCCTGGCTCAGGTGCCAAGCCAGGACCTTGGGATGTCTGCCTGACACAAAGTCGCTGTATAAATGTATATTTGTATATGTAAAAAATAATTCAAATTCCCCAATTTCGTAAAATTAAACTGAAGCGCAATTAATTATCAATGATTAACCACCATTAGATTGCCATAAAAAAACAACTTCACACTTGTTAAACTCTTACCATATTTTAACTGTATGCAAACTGCACTGTAGACTTTCCATAACTTTAGCGCGATAGCATTCATGCAAGGGGAATCTATAATTTATCTTAGTCATCCTTTGATCCTTATAGAACATGACCCTAATTGGTTACACAAAAGGATCATATTGATTGATGAATCCTTGGAATAGCTAAACACATTCCTTACCTGAGCACGAAAGCCTAAAAAAAACTTTAAAAAAAGTAACAATTGAGATTCAAGCAAGGTTGAAAAAATATTGAGAGGGGCAAAATGCACCAGCAATTGAATGTTATTGCAGAAAGAGTCAACAGAGCCATGATGACATTGATTTCACAGCCTCTCATTTTCAGAGCTCTTCCATGTATTCTTCCAGGGGGCAGGTGTTATATCCCTGAAAATTGATTTTCTGCATAACTGGTACCTCTTCCACAGCATATAGCAGATTAACTAGAATGCACGGGGTGGGGGGGGGGGGGGGGGGGGGGGGAGGGGGGGGTGATAACAAATGTAACAGTTATGATCCCAAAACTTTATATTATGATATGATTTTAATTTAGATCTCTTTTTTGCCTGAAATGTATGTTCTAACACCTACTTTTAGGCCTGAGTATTTATAGTAATGAATTATAATGTTGTATAAATATAAAGAACAGCAAAAAAAAGCCTTCCAAAGTATGACTGAATTTAAGATTGTTTTCAAAACGCTACACAATCCTGAAGACAATGGTCTTAAGGCTAAGAGCATGAAAATGTTTGGACTTCTGATCTGATACCTGAAGTTTCAGTTACAGATGGAAATAGAGCATTACTTTTGCAAGACCAGTAATGTAGGAACAAATATAGTCTAATCATGATGACACTGGGGGTTCACTTCAAAACAGTTTTGCAAATACTGTATCTCATATTTGGACTACAGTTTTGGAATCTTGATTCAGTTGCAAATATTACCCAGATACAATAATTCATAGACCTGCAACAACCTACCTTAAAAAGGGACATATTTTCAAAACCAGATAAACCTTATAGTGACAGGTGTGCTAAAAAGAGATGTTTTAAATAGCTTTTTCAACAGGCACAATTCTTAAGCATCAGTTACGCTATGTCAAGGACTGTTGAATATTCACATCTGTTTAGTCAAAACAACCTGAAACAATAGTTTCTTTAAACGGTAAACTCTATATTTCAAGTAGCAGGAATCTTCATTCAACCAATAAGTTTAATGCTTACTTATTTATCTACAGATCAATTAAGTAGCAATGACATGGGCACCAGACTAGTTACAATGATTTTTAAAGGGACCTAATAATCATAATAATCCTTGCATTTGGCATAGCACCTTATCATGTGTTTGAGATGTCTCAAAATGCTTTACAGAATATACTGTAAAGTGAATTGACTGTATATTTTGTGGGCAAAAGACATAAGTGGGTCAATAATCTTTTCACTGTTGAAAGTTAAATTAAACCCTGACTGTAGGATAAAAGTCTCCTCTCTTTGTTTCTGCCTAAGATCAACATGAAACAGATTTAGATTTCAGGGGATGCAAACCACAGAATTACTCATATTCTGTCAATCTTCCTCAGATAGACCACACAAATGTTTCTTGTGGAAATAGGAACATTTGCAATGGTGCAATGTATAAGAATAAGATTATAGGTTGTGCTGTTCCCAGGTTAGAGATGATGTTGGAAAATACAAAGAGACATTTCTCATCTGTTGAATACAAACAGTCATCAAAATAAACCATATTTAAAATAAATATTAGTGTTGCATTGAAAACAAAATCTAATTTCTAATGCAAAATAGAACAACAAGAAAGGATGATGGAAAATGGAAAAATGCAACTGACAAATAGGTGTTGGCAGTGTTTTGTGGAATCACTGACTGTGAAAACAAGTGAACTTTTTAATTTTGAGCAATTGTACAAAAATCTGAAAATGTGGAATGAAAGTAAAGCAAAATGTTTTTTGAAGGGCTTATTAGCCCCAGAAAAGCAATTCCCAATTGATTAACACCGGGTTCGTACTTACTGCTAGGTGAACAGAGGCATATGGAGTAAGGAAACTTGCCCAATGTTTCGCCCTGTCAAGGAATCAAACCCTGGTCCTCTCGCTTGCAAGGTGAGTGCTCTAACCACTAAGCTACAAGAGTCCAGGTAGATAAAATTATGAACAGGTATCCTAATTAAGAGAATTTGGCTTCATTGTAATAATCTTCATTTGTACTTCACCTCAGGGGTTAATTAATGACTGTAACAGGTTGCCAGGAAGGTTGCTGAGGCCAGGACATTGGATTCATTTAAAAAGCAGCTAAATTATGTGATTAAGGAGACAATAGGGTGGGTGTTTTGGAAGGATGAGATTGAATGAACCAAAGAACCTTTTGCAGCCAAAATGCAAAAGATAGTAGGAAAGATTATGATAAGTTTTCATTATGTACACATATTCAAATAAAACTGGAAGTTTTTTGGTTACAAATTATGATTCATTCTGGTGCAAAGAATAGTTCTGACACAGAAATGAAGGCTAGAATTCAGCAAAACTCTATCACCACACAGATAGTAAATGGTGCAGAATCAATCAGCTCCAAACACTCTGTGCCGTTTAAAATTCGAGGTCTTTCAGTCACATTTTTTCATCCACTTATGTTAAGCTCACCCTATACTGCTTGTGCATTGAATCCATCATTTGAAATGTAAATGGTAAAATAATTTGCCTTCTGAGAAGTGAGCACGTTTACTCATCCGGCATTTCCATTAAAATGCCAACTACTATGTATGCGAACAGCAGAATTATTCAAAAGGGCAACAGTTATTTTATCCATAAAACTGCTGGTCAGTTACAGTAATAGTCAATGACTGGCTTATGCGTTGACCAATGTACAAAACATTTCTAAATATCCTATTCCAAGGATTATTCTGTTTGNAAAAAACAGGAAATGATCAGACCTTTGTATTCTTGAACTGTATCTTCTACCACAGTAGATGTTAATATATAAATTGCACAGCACAATCTTGCCACTCCATCATTTATCAATAGCAAGTCAGCCTATCTAGTCATTCATTTTGCTGGGTGGGTCAAAGGGAAATTGTTTAAGGCTTGCAGCTATTTATGTTAAACAAGAATATATTCAGTGATCTGAAGATTAATTTGGCAGGAATACAATGCCTGAACAATATTTTTTTGGGCAAAACAATTTTTCAAGAAACCTTCATAAATTATTATTTGTAATGAAAATTCAACGCTGGGAACAGAGAAGGAAGAGCAAATAACATAGGACATAAGACTGTATCATGGCAGAAATGTGTAGCAGAAGAACCAACTGTTTAGTTAAAGAACTTGTGCAAAAATGATTAGCTTCCAGTCAGACTGAAGTAAAAGAGCCACATGTTCTGCATTGAACTCTACATTGTTGTTCGTCACTTTATTGCTTCTAGAGTCTTTTGAGCAATAAGGGATTTTTCTTGACATTAAAAATGATTCCATCCTTGTGGCGAGTTTGGGAGTAGGCTATTCCTTTCTGTCCTCCAGGGGTTATATTGATGAAAGGCTCGCAGTAAAAGACGAAAATGAGCACCTATGTGTAAGTATACTATGGTAGAGGATACAGTTTGGTTTCAAGTATGGACAAGCATTTTGCCCACAAAATATTCACTTTACAGTATATTCTGTGAAGGGCTTTGAGACATCTCAAAGAATGATGAGGCACTATATCAAATGAAATGATTATCATCAGTATTATTATTATAAGTAAGACACTACTGCACAAAAATTGTGCAGATTTGCCTTGAGTGAACTGCATGTATTTGTATAAATTCTATTTGCTTTAAGGCAATGAACAGTACTGTGAAGTTAGGTATCGGCCTAGCTCAGTTGGTAGCACTCTTGCCTCTGAGTCAGGCTTATTCATATTCAATAGAATTTTAGAAGTCTGCATTGTGTTATTGTGTCTTGATTGATTCTGCAGATTGACGTAAATACCAGCCACCCCCTGGCTCACTCTGACAAGCCTTTGACAGCAGAAGTTCTTCCAAACCTCTCCTATTGCTCCCCGAGTCACAATCCTGGATCCTTCTTATCCTTGACTCCTTTCAGAACAGCAGGAAGCTGTGCACTTGCTGTGCTTGCAGGGACCTGAGAAGATTGCTATCACTTTGGATACAATTCGTATAATTTTCACTTAATTAACTAATTACATTGGGAACATTTGTAATTACACCCTTATCACTGATGACCCGTCCACACTCCTACACTGCACACTCGTGCAAGGGAAACATCTGGAAGGATGACTTATAGACATTTGCTGTAGCCATTCTGAAGGCAAACCAGTGAAATGCAGTTAAGTCTCTCTCTCTCTCTCTGCGCCAATCTAGCACTTTGCTGTTACGCATTCTTTTTTGGGACATAATCCTGCTTTTGGAAAAGATAATATTGTGCTGAATGAAAAAGCTATCCGCAGAGAGTGTGCCATGGCAACACAGCTATCCTCGCCCATCTGCTTCATTCTGTTTTCTCAAGCGGATTAAAAAGGCTCTGAATGCAAGAAATGGGGTAGTGATTCGAATCTGCCAGCAAACTGCTCCTGGAAAGTCTCTCATTGGAAAGCCCATGTCTTGGGTCCTGCTTGCCCTGGTGCTGCAGACGTGTGAGAAGCATATCCCACTCTGGATACCAATGAGGCTTGGGATGCTGTGGCTTATGGCATTGCAACTGAGCCCCTGCGATGACGTGGCTACAGAAGCAACTACGATCTGCAGTGACACCCTCAATGGATGAGAGGCGACTGCGAATGAGCTCATTCTCCCAGGAGGGAGCACAGCTCCAAGTGAATCACTGAGGAAGCTGCAGCTTCTGTGTGTGTGTGTGTGTGTGTGTGTGTGTGAAATACATCCTCAGTCTGTCGCTGCTGGTCTAATTCTTCACTTGTGTGTGCACATGGTAAGCAGATCTATTCTTTGATTCATTTAAAATTATGCAGAGAGGGGCTGGGGAGTGTGTGTCTGTGTGGGGTGGGGAAGGGGGGTGGTGGATCAATCATTAATATTCTCTAGCATTTTTCTTACTGAAAAGGTTTGAAGGTCTGGGTTTAATTTGTGCAGCATCAGGATAAATCAATCTGTTTGGATGATGCTGTCCTGTGTGCGAGGCAGAACGTTTTTAAATGTGTTTGCAAGGCATCATCTACAGTTTGGAAGGATGAACAGCAGTGCGTATAGCAAATGGCACCTCCTCAAATGTTAGAGTACCACCACGTACAGCAGACCCACTGTATACTGCACTTTGGATCGTGCATTTGAGGTTAGTGATTTTATTCGGTGCTAAAGATTTATCTGATGCAAAATACTGCTTTGTGGCATCGATGCAGAATCACCTGCAGTGTCTTGAAGGGGGGAAAAAAAAACAGCTGAACTACTGTAGGCCTTTTTTTTCTATAAAAAAATAATGGTAAGGTAACAAAAATGTATCACGTTCCTCTGGAATTTATTATTTTATGCATTTTGCTTGGTGCCTTACCAGGCATTAGTTTTGACTGATCTGCTTAATTTTACATTGTCTTTTAGCATCCGTTCAATCTACATATGGGCAGGAAAACAGCTGTATGTAAGCTCCTGCTCTGTGAAAATTTACGTCTGGTTCATTGAAATTGAAGTTTCCTTTTCAACGGAGCATTCTCTTGTGGGCTGTAAATGTCATTTAACCTCACTAAGCTCATTGTATTATTAATTGATGTAAGGGTCCTCTATGTGCAGACCCTGTTTAACATGCAGACAGCAGCCTGGAAAGGTGAGACATTAAGACTCTGATAGATCATTTAAACATGTCACAGTTCATCAGAACATAATCATATATCCATCTTCAATGAGGACCTTGTTGTGCTTTATCCAATAATTACCATCCGATGAGATATTTAAGGCTGGTAAACTGTTTATTTTATGCATTTCATATGGTCCTGGGGCACAGTGCACATGTGGGGAGCTGCTGTTCTCATTCTGCTGCTTGTCGATTTCTTGCTGTGGTAGATTTAAGTATTTATTGGCACAAACAGAAAATTATTTTATTTTATGACTATGTGGTGCACACACAGTGGCGCATAAAAGCTATAATGGTACTATTGTGGCAGTGTTCTGAATGTGTTATGAAATCCAGCCGGCTTTTAACTACCTTCAGAGATGGTAGGTGTTTGAATTGGGAAGGGGGAGAGTAGCAGGGAGATAGATCCTCATGAATTAGCGAGCATCTGTCCTGTACAATAGCAGAGAGTCAAGTGATGCAGAATAGAATTACTGAACCACCACTATAATGCACTTTTGTAATGAGGCCTTTTCGAGGATGTAATTAAGGGGCCTTGAAATTGTTATTAATGTTTACTGAAGGGTTGCAAACAAGTCAAACTTGTGTTTGACTGGCAGACGCTCATGTATGCTTGACACGTCACTACACGAATACTAGGTAAAATACCTCCACGGACTCTTGTGCTACAAAAAGTGCTGAACTTCAGAAAAGCTAGGTAGTAGATAACAATGACAACAACAACTTACACGTATATAGTGTCTTGGAGCACTCAATATCACGGTTATCTGGACTATCAGCAAAATATGGTATCTAATCTATATTTTGAGGCCTAAACAAGAGCAAACAGGGGTATATGGTAAAATTTACAGGTTATATTCTTCAACTCAATTTATTCCTTCTGGATTCTCTTGTGTTGCTTTCTCAGAAGATGCCTTATTTTTTCCAGATATTTTTGGTAGCCATGGTAACAATATTGGAATTTCCACAATTCGGTTTAATGAGAGACAAGTCAATAACAAGAGAAAAAAATCCTGGAAATCAACTGTGTCGTATGCCTTTGGGCTTTTAGGCAGTATTACAGCTAAAGGGTTTTTCCTGCCTCATTACTTTACTTCAGCCAAGTCATGGTGGATATCAGTATGCTACACAAGTGACCCATCAGCTAACATACTGGGCCTCTTCACAATGCTGGTTGCTGCTGTGAATTGCACTGTGCCATCTCTGGGATTCCTCGTTTCTGTATAGTACAAATGCATTAACAGAATGAGGTGCCATTTAAATATTCTTTTCTTTTCCCCTTTTTTAAACTTCTGCAAAAAATGTGGATTTCTGAGCGGTTATTTCTGGCTTTTCTGATCTGTTGGGAGTCTCTAAGCTGTGACGTTTGACATGGTCTGAACAATTAATCATGAATAAATACATTGTTAGAGATTAGGAATCCATTTTTGAGAGTTTGTGGCTTTGCCAAGGCTATTTGGTAAAGATAAATGCCAAACTACAGCATTCCATCCATCAAATGTAAAACTACAGTTGATTTACAATGAAACAAACTGATAGTTTAATTAAAGCCTTCAATATCTAATGCAGTACAAATATCTTGTGAATAGAAACTTATTTAGGGTGCACATATTTTACAAATGATAGTTTTATTGCATTACATGCGGTGTCCAAATTGTGCTATTTTAACAGGTGTTTTGCGGTGTGCTCCTATAGGACATATAATAGCTAAAGCTATTTTATGAGAATAAAGCATTTGGTTGTTAAAATTATGCTGCCAGATACAGAAAAAAATTGCACGTCTATACAAGGGTAAAATCATAAGCGCTCTGGGACGCTGTTTTGCGCGAGGGGCACCATCTAAATGCATGTTGTTGTAAAATCAGTGTAACAAAATTGTTGCAGTACAAATGTATATTTTAAATGAGGGCAACCTGTAGTATGAAACAATAACAGCACATTAAATAACTAAGATAACATTGTCATTAGACATGAGAGGAATCTAGAGTTTATTCATGTTATCTGTTTCCTAAGACCTGTTTTAACATCAGATCTCACTCCAAAGTATGTTATTTTTGACAATCTATAGAATTATAACAGTTCATCGCTATATAGAGTATAGGAATTCCTCACCATTTTCAGGTCACTATTTGCTTCTTTTTTGCCATTGGGAGTCTTATAACAAATAGTAGTCTGCTTCGGCGCATGTAATTAAACCAAGAGCTATTTTAGGACCTATTTCAGTGGCTGATCCAGGAAAATACTGTTGTACAGCTTCTTTAAGATGAATTTCTGGGAATGGCTACAAGACTGTAATCTAATTGAGGGGTTCAAGTGACATCCTAAATTGCAAGAGTGAAATTTAACATCTGACATCTGAATTACATGATTAGATTGTAATGTTGCCATCATGCCATGGCATGTTTTATGTACTTTTAGGGTTATTGTGCTTCCGGTCCGTTTTTTGCTGACAGTTACTGTTAGACTGGGCAATAAATTTCAGTGTACTTTACTGTATTCACACATCATTCCAGCAGATTTATGCAGAATATTCAAATAGGTGGTGCACATCGATTTATTGTCTCAGACCAATTTCTCTGAAGTCTCATTAATTTGGAGGAATTTAGTACTGTGAAGTTGTTTCTCCAGTAGTAGTTACAGCACTAGCATGATGGTGGAATTACATTTAGGCTTGTTAATCACTTTAATATGATGGAGGCCTCATAAATCATTTGAAAATGTAAAAAGTTCATTCATTCATTCTGTGCATCATCAACATCTAGATACTGCCACTTTGTCTTTCACTATAATGCCACCCTTATTCATCCAGTACGAGGTACAGTTAGGTTTTCAATCTGTCACAAGAAAACAGACTTCCAGGGCAGTTTCCTGAGGTTCTGACAAACATTTAATGGGAAATAAATAAATAAATAGATCCCTTCATGAAAATAGATATTCCAAACAATTTTTCAAGAGTGCCCCTTTAAAACTAAAAGTTGTTTAATTTAGAGACTGTTGGCCCCTGCACACCAAGCAAGCAAACAATCTTAAATCCAATTATCATAACTTTAGCGTTTTCATGTGATAATATTATGAGATTGTTTGATTTTTACAATGCATTTGGATTTGTATAAAATGCCATATTTTACTGGAGCTGAACTAATGATGAGCTTGTTTTGAGTGATGTATTTTAGGTGACAGTCTGGCTCAGGAGGTAGCACTCAAATGTATAGACACCAAATGTATAGGGTGAGGAAAAATACCTTGACATTTCAGAGGAACAGTACATCAGGAGGGTGCACCTTACGTGACAAGCTGTCACAAACAATAGTTGTCTCAGTGCTGAAGAAATGCACAGTGAATCTCCTGTGAGTACCATAGCCAGTGGCTATGCAGATCATCACTGCTTTGAACATCAGTGCCACAGGTTGAACTCAGGCACCTGCTGAAGTCATTACAAGCTTTTTATGGGGGTCAGCTGGCTATCTGACATGTGTGGAAAAGAGTACCCAAGCCAGATAGAGTTCCACATATGCATGTCACTTATGCATGAAAATTTTCCTTGTCTGAAATGTTGAGCTTGGCCCTGGACTTTGCAAACGGCCAGAAAAGCAAACACTAGCTAAGCATCTATTTGCTTCAATAATGAGCAGATTACAGAGGCTCTCTTTGTAATGGTTACAAGATTTGTACATCTTTTACAGAAACAGTTGGAAATACGGCATTGTATTTTCAAGAGTGACAGATCCTAAATACTGTAAGAGGTGATATATATGCACACGTGGTCATTGCAGGTTCAACTCCCTCAATGACATCTGCCTCAGGAGCTTTTGTTTGCTCAGTGTTCTGTGACAATATGAAATAAATGTATCCTGGAGCTACCCATGACTCTTTCATTTTATTTACTGACTCTATGTCAGATTGATTTGAAGGCTCCCAAGTTGCCTGAGTGGCTTGCTGAAGACAGGTATGTTCCATTGATGTGGAATCACCTCTCTTTTCCTTCCATCTAACCTGGTGAAGATTTTATTCAATGATCTTTGGCCCATTTGTTCTCATCCATCCAATATCACCCTGCTTCCATCATGGCACCAAACTGTTTCTTAAATGTGTCCAAATGTTCTGGTGTCTGTTACCCTTCCTCGTAA